CAGAAGAAAGCCTCGTCCACCTCATCCCCCTGGTCTGGTGGTCTATAGCAGACTCCAACCACGACATCACCCTTGATCTATCAGAACCCTAGAAGATGAGAACCCCATCTTGGTTTCTTTTTATTAAGACATGGTTAGCATGACATTACAAACCCAATACTGGCTCACACTTCACTCCCTATTACTCATTCACCATACCCTATGAATGCATTAAATGAGGGTAGAGCAGAGATTCTACTCCCAGCCAGTCCTCACGTGCAGGAAAGGCTCCACTAGAAAAACAAGACTATCCACCTCATCTGCAAATCAACAGACAATCCTAGAAACTCTATTCAACTACAGACAGCAAAGGCTGCTCAGAAGCACTGCTGGAAATGCTGAAATGACACGCTAGAGGAGTCTGCTACTGTACCTCATTTTTCTTGAATGCTTCGACATCAGTATAGATAACACCTTGATACTATTGCGCAAAATCTCCAACCCACTGTTAACGATGGGTCTTGTGCAAGTTATTTCCACACAAGACAACTGGTCACACAACAGACTGGCTCCTTTGCCTACACATCACTACCTCCTACGAGCAGTCTGCAGCAGAAGGGTCGTTCTGGATTTCTCATTGTTGCTGAACACACAGAGTAACAGCACCAAATATTACTTTTCTTCCATCTTCCACTAGCCAGAAGACTGAGCCTCAAGTTATCAAAGTGATCCAAAGCTTTGTGAGCTCCAGGCTGAGACTATTAAAATTCACTCTGCCTAGGCATGAGCAGTCCAATATTACAATAAAGCTTCCATTAGCCCACCATTCAATAGCTCACATCCTCAGCCACACCATCCACCAAAAACATATTATCCTGGTGCTCCACTCATTATACTGGCTCCCCACAGAAATTGGGCTGAGGGGCAAGGTCTCTGAGTTAACTTTCCAGGCTCCCCATGGAATTAACACAAGATACTTCAGAAAGTATTTCCCTTTTGAAGAGGCCTCCCTTGACAGTTATATTAACCAGGAACAACAAAGATGTCAAACTCAAAGGGAAAGCTCATGAGAGCAGAAGGCAGAGCTTTCTTGGCAACAGGACCAATTCCTAAGAACTCATTACCTAAGGAGATATGAATGACCACAAATTTCACTGTCTTCAAATTGAAGTGAAAAGCTCATTATTTGACTTAGCTTTCCCACAGTTCCAGCTAAACAGAGCAAAGAAAAAAGGGGGGAAGAGGAGGTAGGAAATAGAACTAGGGGAAACAATAAATAAATGCAAACAAACAAAAAAAGCCCAACTGCCTTGGATGAAATATGGAGGAAAATGAGGCCACTAGCCTATTATGATCTTGGTTATCTCAGAGAGGTATTCAGATGTTTCAGTGATGGACACCATTATAAGAAGCTAGATAAGTGTCAAGACCAACCTGAGGATCTGAGCTCATTTTTTGAAACACAGACTTGTTTTCCAGATCAGCTCCCACATTTGTGCTGACTTTGGTCTCTTACTTAAAAACCTCTGCTAAAGTACACAATCATTCAAATTGAGTTGATGGTGAAGAGTGGTGAGAGAATGAGACTACTGAAGAGCAAGTTTGTCTCTGGAATGCACCAACTTCGTTATCAGAGAAATTTGAAGAACTTCAGCAAGTGCACTTTATGTACATTTGTTCAGCAAGAGGTGATAATCTTTTTCTTAATTATGTTCAGGTGAATATATTGTTTAAATGGAAAAGACAAACATAGTTCCCTAATCCTCACTCTTTCTTTCCAGGCAAACATTATGGGTACATTAGGATTATGACCAAATCAAAAGGTCAGGTAAGCCTGGAAAAACGTTAAGTCTGTTTAAGCATGATTTTCAGCATCCGGCAAACAGCTTCTCATCCTCTTCGCAGGTAAACATTAGTCATCACACTCCGCTGCTAAGGTCCTTGTCCATGTTTCATAACCTTATCAGAGGAGTCCAGATCATCAGGAATATTCTCTTTATCTACCAGGACTGTAAATGAGAGCTTCAATTTATATCCTTCTTCCTCACTGTGATCAGTTTTGCAGTAGCTATTTATGACCCTAAGAGAATAAGCAGGATTAGTAAATCCAGCTGACACTCCCCAGAGCGTACAGACTAATGCAATTTCCAGAAGGCCCAAGGAGAGTACCAGCCAACTTCACTTTTCCTGATGAGGAGCATATTCAAAAGACTTCAGAGATACATAAAAAAGCAGCCAAACAAAGCTTCTCAAAATAAATAGAATTAATTAATTATTAATTAATTAAAGAGATAGCTTAAGTTTTCGCCCTTATCAATTCGGGAAAAAAGAATTCTTAAAAAAACAACACCATTTCTCATCCCCTGAAGAGGGAGAATTATTAGAGTCACAGCCAACAGAGTTCAGACGAGAAAATTCAGAAAGTCCTCCCCTCTGGCGAACCTTTTCAATCAAAGGGAAGAACAGTTGTAAGAACCCCCAATTTACAAGAAAAGGTGGAGGAGAAAGTAAACTAGAAGCCTGTCTATACTAAGCTCAAACAGATTTTGTTGCAATAAAGTTTAAAACAAGTTTTAAATACAGTTTAGTTGTGAATGGGCCAGATTATTTTATAAACATTTATAGCCCTGAGTTCCGCCAGAATGCCATTTTAATATTTTTTATAACAAGAACTGTTCTGCACCCAGTCTGGTCTAGCTAGCTAAATGGTGTTTGAACAGTTTTAAATGTATTCAGCAAACATAGTTTAACCTCACTGTGAATAGGTCTTGAGAGAACTGCATTCAAGACAGCATTAGCATGAAGACTGAAACATAATCATGAGCTATTATGCCATTCAGAAACAAAAGGCAGATTATACAATACTTCCCAAAGCAGTCATGTGTATACTTGATTTTTTGTGATCTCAAAAAGGTCAAACGACATAAATGCTGTCTTAAATCACAAGAGCTCACAAATGTACAAAAAACCTCAAGTAGAGACCATTTACGTCAATCCTTGGAAACAATCGTTGCTTAGTTCCTATATTCCTAGCAGAAGCAAATTTGTATATTCTGATTCGGAAAGTACACTGAGAGTTTAAATTTCTCATAATGAAGTATTTCCTTTTAGATTCTTGAGAGCTTCCCGGTGGGACAAGACAGGGAACCCACCAATGGCAACAGTTGCGAACAAAGCAGTTTGGGGTGATACATTCCTTAAAGACAGTGCAGAGCCTCTGAACAGCAAAAGCATTCAAAGTGTTCAAATCTACTGAAATAGAGGACTATGAAACTAGCCTTAACATTATTTAAAAAGATCACAAAGGAAAAACAGGTGTGGATAGTTGTGTTGTCCAAAAGTTTCCAATCTGAAGCATCAGGCCTTAGACAAGAGATGGAACTTTTAGATCTACCGTACAGACCTCTATTACTTGAGCTAATGGAGTAACTTGATAGCAGTAGTAAGTTGTCATCCTCCATATAGACCAGCACCAGAGAAGGATGAAACACACACCTTGACTATAGGTTTCATAGATATTTGCTGGCAAGAGAAGAGTGCGAGACTCAAAAATTTTGGGTTCCACTCCAGGATCTGAAAAGGAGTGTCGTCTTCTACCCATGCTCCCTAAACATGATCCTTCTGTCTCATCCCCTCCTTCAAGCTGTCCCTGTCCACCCATCTTCCCCAACCCTTGATCTGTGTCCCAGTCCTATTATTGCCTATCCATTCCCAGTCTCCACTTTTCAAGCTTATTATCCCAGTCTCCTGGCCCAGCCAGTTCAAGTCTCCCCCTCTTCTCTCCCCATCCCAATCACCCTGCTTCAGTTCTGCCCTAGTACCATTTTCCCTGCCCAGCCACTCTCATTTTCCCCCTTGTCCCCAATCTTTAGACTTCTGCCCAGGTCCTCATCTGATCTGTCTCGTCACTACTTCCCCTCCACACATCTACACTGGCTATTAGTCCCAGTCTCCCTCCCGAGGCTCCTCATCCAATCTCTGTCTTCCCCACCCACGTGCTCCTTGTCCCGGTTTCTTTACCCAGTTCTCCCCCTGTTCTCTGGCTTCCCCTCAGTTCTGGTTCCCCAACCCTAACCTCCTACTCCCACCCCACTTTTTTCCAGTCCTAACCTCCTCTGGCTCCTGATCCAATCTTTGTCTCTCATGCCCCCTCACTGCTCCCAGTCCTTTTGACCAGTCATTCCAGTCCCCGCATCCCAGCTTGCAGTCCCGGTTTTCCTCTCCTGTTCCTACCAGTTTCCGGTCCCAGTTTCCACCCCAACAGGCTCTATGTCCCAATCTACTCTCCACCACCGTGGTCTGTTCTTGTCCCTTCTGCATTCCTATAGGGCAACTTCTACACTGCCTGGATATCAGCAGGGAAAGGCAATGAGAATACAGGAGATACAAGCTCTCAGTTCCAGTGCCCGGACCTGCACCTGCAACTGCAATTGCAGGGAAAGTCCTGATCACCCCAGGGGTCATGCTCAATGTGAATGAAATCTTTATAGGCTTTAGCTGCCAACATTTACCACGTATCTACTGAGCAGATGTGAACTGTGATTTTTCAAAGGTGTATAACTTGGCCAAATGTGGACATATTTTCATAGGGATGCCAAAAGGCACATCCCTGACACCTCCTTGATAAATTTCAAGTCCCTGCTCAAAGGATGGGGGGTACTAAAAGAAAAGGTTGCCAGATTTACTTATTTTTTTTAAATCATGGGCATGATAATGTATTTTTCCTAGCCTCATTCTTAGAAATGTCTGAACTGTTTTAGCTGAAAATTTTCCAAATAAATTCAGCATGAGGTACACACGAAAATTTCAGCCTAAATGATAAAAGTTAGGCAAAGCCATAAACAAATGAAAACACTAATGGGGCACTAAAGTGTCAGGCAACCTTAACAACAGGTGGTGCTATTAGGATACCTGACTGCTAAGTAACATATATATAACAGACAGTGACAAACACACAAAAATCATAGAACATGAACATGGTCATAAAATAAATTACTGAAGAAATTTAAATAATGTACATCTTTGAATTCATGCATTTATATTCCACTTCATTTTAAAATAGGAGCTACTAAAAAAAAAACAGAACGAGGAAAATGAAAAATTTTAAAAGTAGAAAATGCTGTATTCTGATATTACAACTTGACCTTAGTTTAATTAATAAACAATCATTCATTAATCAAAAACAAATGAATTTTTTCTCTAAAGTACAAAAGTATCAATATTTACATACATATGAACCTGAACACTGTAAATCAAGTGTAAGAAATCTACTTAATTTTAAGCACTCTTATTTTAAGATGAGAAAATAAAAACTAGTTTTTTCTCATTATTCAGAACTACAACTGTACCTTGTAAAGAAGTGTGAACAGTACAATGTGCAAGGTTTTACAGTGCAAAAGCTTCATGAGACCTTTATAGCTTGGATGCAGTGGTGTTCGTTTCTTGTAGGGAGGCCAGGGGTTTCCAGGGAATTTTCCACTCTGCTTTAAACTGTTAAAATAAACATGACTAAAATTAAATGCTTCACTAATCAGAACTAAAATAATAGCTATATTATAGACAGCACGAAATCAAAATATACAGGTTACTTATGTCTTAGGGTACTGACAGTTTCAAAGCAATATTATTTATGTTACATAACATTTTTCAAACTCGGGTGTCCATCTCTCTTTTATGAGCAATGGATTGACAAAGGTCACTCATTATTATTACTGGGAGCCAGTGCCGGTGTAAATCCCCTCTTGAATGGACCTGTACAAATCAATTGCAATGGATTCAAGAATGCTTGTTTCAGTCTTCCAAGGATCGTAAAAGAACAACAATTTGCAGAAATGTCTTCACCTCAGCAAAATCTGTTTTTCCATGTAGCTATAATTATAATATATATTAGCATGGAACAAAGTTTTCTAACTTGTATGTCAAAAGTAAGGCACCTGCTTTTGACTTCTGAAAGTCAGACTACTTTATTGAGAGGTACTGAGCATCTGTAATACTCATTATTTAAATCTGAATTATCTTCAGTGGGAGCTGTGTTCCCTCAGCACTTCTGAAAAGTCAGATTTGACTTTAGGTATCTATATTTGCAAATTTTGGCCTTGGTCTCTTCCCTCAGAACCCAATAAAAACCAATATTATCATGAAACCAAGATACACAATGTTCCAATACTGCACAAATTATATTTTTATGTACTGTATAAGCATCAATTTTTCAGAATATGCTAGTTTATGGCCCAGTTCCTCTCACCCACTTATTCCTCAGAAAATTATGATTCTTGTTGCTTGAGTCAAACATATACTTATCTATAGACAAGATGATACAACAGGACAATGTTTTTGTGTGTTAAAAAAAAACTAGAAAAAGTATTTTTAATACACACGGTATATTTAACACCTTGTAAAAATAAATTATTCATTGAGGTATGGAACATCCTCCCTGTATTTTTTAATTTTTTCCCAAATCTCTCCTGAAATCATACAATTTCTCCTTTGCTTACACCTTGTAATTTCTCTCCCTTTGCTATTGTGTCTCTTTATCATTGCAGAATTTAATTAGCTGATGGGGTCATGTGACTTTGTTTGAATGAAAAAGCCAGCAGCAGAATTCTGCATGTGCCTGCATCTGGACATCTGAAATCTGGGAAAGCCTCATAGAAAAGCCTTGCAGTTTTCAAGATCAGCCATGAAGGCATGGATGAAAATTTCTGCTGAACAATTTGAGGCATAGCTACACACTGGTAGTCTTATGTAGGTGGTGACAGGCATGTCTGTAAACACAGAAGTAGTGGAGGAGCACAATTCAGGGTAAAGTACATACAGTTGAATATCAGTGCAAGAGTAGTAACTAGGGGCAAGTACTCAGAGTGGCTAGCCATCCTGTGGCTCAAGCTGCTGCATTTATACTCTATTTTTAGCACACTAGGTCAATGGTGAAAAGGTGACGAGGACAGGGAGAAAAGGCAGACTTGTTGGTGTCACTAGGCATAACCCTAGGTAACTCGGGAGGGTGGAAGGCCACTAAGTGTCAATGAAGCCTTCCTGCACTAGGCCTATATGAACCAAACTTCTTCCATGTTTAAACTCTAATCAACCTCAAAAGCCAGGTGCAATTGGAATATGTAAGCAACCAGTTATCTGTGTGCAACCCCCTGCTCACACCGGTATCAAGCGGTAATAATGAGGCCTGCATGTTTCTGGCTGAAGGGAAAAAGGACAAGATAACGGTTTAAAGAAGTTACTAACAAGCTGGGCTTATAGCTGCCAAGAATGACTTAACTGCTTAAATATAATCGTTATTTGCTTAGTAACTGTTACCAGGGAAGAGAGGGGTAGAAGGGGAGGGAGGAAGGGAGGGGAAGGGGGGGGGGGTGATGCTTAACTGCAAAATGTATAAAAGAAGAAAAATTGTTCCTGTTAGTGTGCTTGATTTGAGACTTGCCAGTCTCCTTGCACCGCTTTGGGATCCCAAATAAACTTTGTTTGTTTCTCCACCCCTGGTGTGTTTATTGGCGCGAAGCACACCGAGCAACGAACCCCGCTGTTGCTGTCCTCGGGCACTGTGTGCCGGCAACAGACTGAAAAGAACAGGGGAGCTAGAACAGAATCCTGTTGGATTTCACAAGAGGAGCAATCTAGACACAAAGTCCACTAAGGAAGCGGGCATTACAGGGAAGGGAGGGACATGGCAGAGCTCAGCCCAATTCTCAACTGGCATACTAGTTCTAATTTGCGAGCAGCTGGATGGCTGTGAATTCAGAAGCCACAAATTGGTCCCTGCAGTCCCCTTGCCCTGCACAAGAGCAGAACTTGGTTGGAGTAGAGATTCTAATAAAAGAGGAAGAAAGTGGTGTTAGAGCTGAGGAAGAGGAAAAGGATGGGTGAATTAAAGCAGTAATGTAGAGAGCAAAAGTACGGAGAATGGAACAAAATGAGCAAATGAACTAGTAGATTTCTCGCAACTGGTCTGGGACAGGCTGGAAGGAATAGGCAAGCCCAGACGCTGAATTAAACCAGTAAAAGTAAAGAAGGCTCATATTCTCTCTTTCTGAAACTAACCTCCATCAAAACTCATATACCAAGCAACCACTGTGCAAATGAAAGTGACCTGCATTTTTTCTTTTCAAATGCAGCAATTCTAAAATTACACTGCTCTACAGCCAAAATGCTTCTGAAATAAATGTAGTCAAACTTTAGTAATTCTGGGTCACTGAGAATGAAAATGATGCTTAAAATGGTTGATTGGCTCTAGTTTTCAAGATATGATATTGGGTCAGTATATATGACCCTTGACTTGGGAATGGCGGAGGATAAGTGAGTTATAAAGGGAAGGGATCTCAATTTAAACCAGAAATGACTAAAATACATCTTTGACTGGATCTATGAATAAATCTATGACCGGGTTTGGACAGTACTTGCTTTTTAGGCAAAACAATGAATGATGCAATCTGAAGCTGGTATTGCGTCATACATGATATGAATTGCATCATGTTATTCCTAAAAGTCATGGATGATACAATCATAACGAAGCTTACATCACTCTGCTGAACAAATTGCCCTATATCAGCTCTAGAAATCATACAGTGTTATGCTCTCTTATTTATCAGTGTTTGATTTTGCAAAGGGACACATTTCTGTTTAGCCAAAGTGAGCAGAGATGCCTCGTACTTGTGTGAACAGTGCAGATAACTTCTGCTATGTTTGTGGTGAAGTGACTTTTGCATCACAAAAGCGCAGTATCCCACTATGGTTAAGAAAGCCTATCACCTTTATTTTGGCTGCAAAATTGGAGATCAGGACAAGAGGTGGGCCCCACACATATGCTGCAACACTTGTGCAACAAATCTTCGCCAGTGGTTGAACAGGAAAGGGAAATCTATGCCTTTTACGGTGCCAATGATTAGGAGAGAGCCAACAGATCATACCAGCAATTGTTACTTCTGCATGGTGCCTCCAGTTGGGAAAGGTGTGTCAAAGACAGTGTCCATGTGGAGACAGCT